TGAATTATGGTGTTTGTGAAGAATATCAAATATACTATGAACTACTAGAAGAATGAACAAATCTGCCTTGGAAGCAGGGTAGCCAGAATTTCCTTAGAATCGTGGATGGCGAGACTTTATTTCATATACTTTAGACATGTCACCAAGAAGGACCAGTCCCTAGAGAAGGACATCATGCTTGGAAATGTAGAGGGTGAGGGAACAAGAAGAAGTCAACAAGATGGATTGGCACAGGGGCTAAAACATAGAAACGATTGTAAGGTCGGTGCAGTGTTTCGTTCTGTTGTACATAGGATCACTGTGAGTTGGAACCAACTCAATGGCACCTAACAACAGTAAAAACAATAAAGACAGGCCTTAGCAGGAAAAAAGGAAGCCAGCCCCTCACATTATTGACGATAGTGAAAAGCAAATGATAAAGGAAATATAATGCCACTATTGTTCATACCTTAGCAGTGAAAAAGAGTTAAAATATTATCAACAATAAATATAAACGTAACTAAAAGGTATGAAATTAAACAACATACTGCATTACACAAATCTGTTGCACAAGACTTCTTTAAAGTGTTCAAAAGCAAAGATGTCTGTTTGAGGACTAAAGTGTGTCTGATCCAAGTCATACAGTATTTTCAGTAGCTTCATAAGCATGTGAAAGTTGGACAATGAATAAAGCAGACCATAGAAGGACTGATGCACTTGAATTATGGTGTTAGAGGAGAATATTAAAAGTACCATGGGCTGCCAAAAGAACAAACAGATCTACGTTGGAAGAAATATAGCCAGAATGCTTCTTAGAAGCCAGGATGACCAGACTTCGTCTCTCATACTTTAGACATATTATCAGGAGGGACCAGTCCCTGGAGAAGGACATCATGCTAGGTAAAGTGGAGGGACAGAGAAAAGGAGACAAATCCCCCACAGTGAGATGGACTGGCACAGTGACAGTGGCAGTGAACTCAAGCTTAATGGTTGTGAGGATGGCGCAGGACCGGGCAGTGTTTCATTGTTGTGCATAATCGTTGCTATGAGTGGGAACCGACTTGATGATGGCATTTAACAGCAACAACAAAATCACACCCAGTGGCTGGCACAAGGCAATAACATGGCAATTAACGATGGCACATATGCACTTCCTGGCTCTGCTGCTTCCCCTCTGGGGCCTTTGGTGGGTTCTTTAAGCTGAGCCTTAGGGTCCTTCTCTACAAAAACGAGATCAAGCAGGACTACCTCCTAAGACTACAGTTGGGAGAAATGAGCTGAGGAATGCACTGGACTGGAGCTGCCCTGGGATTCAGCCAGCACTACACAGCTTTGGGGACTGATCATTTCTGTCCTTTCTCTGCTACTCTCTTCCCTGAAATGACAAGCTCCTCAGGGTCGGCTTGCTCTTATTCTCCTCTGCACCCTGGCACAAAAGGTGAGGACCCTTGTAGAACGGATCATGGATGGAGACCATGAGGCTCCTGCTCTGGACCAAGAACTAAGGAGGGGATGTTCTGAGCAGGCCTGTGGCTTGTCGTTTGGGAGCTCACTAGGGCTGTCATTCTCCCCAGGCCCAGCTTCTAGCCCCTCAGCCCAGAACATCCTGCTGTTGGTTCAGGGACTGCATGACGAGGCTATCTATATGTTCCCTGTCTCCATGTCCCTTGCAAGGTGAGGTCACATGCTCCCCGATGGACTGGTAGGCATAGACTTGGAGTGTTTATTTGGATCCACCCTCACCCCACCTCCTAACAAAGGGAACTTGCCTTTCCCATTGCCCGCCCCCAACACACCCTCTTTCAGCCCTAGGGCCAGAATTCTGACAAGGGATTCAGTCAGGACCCGAGGGCCACCGTTGGGCCTCCACACATCCCTTCACTGACTCACTAGAAAAACATGGGACACAGGGGTCCTGATTCTGGATTGGCAGAACTGGGAGGTCCTGGAGGAGGTCAGAGAGGCTACCAGCAAGTCAGTACTGGAGGTGGGCAGGAAGGAGGACAGGTAGATCTGAGGACTAAGAAGAGAAGGAGGTAGGCTGGGTAGGGTGGGTTCTTCCTGTCAGGGTGCGTTCCTGCCTCTTGCCTCTCCTTAGGTGAACACATGGTCCCCATTCACCCCATTCTGGATTGGTGGGGCAGTGAGGTCCTCAGGAAACACTTGGCCACTAGGCACATAACCACCACCAGGGCTGGCTCTCCAGTGCCCTCTGTGCAGTGAGCATTGCTTTCCTTCTGGCAGGAGGCCTGAAGGGGTTAGAGACTGAAGGGTGGGGGGCAGCTGTGCAGTAGTCACTAGCCACAATCCCTCCAGGAGCTCCTGTGACTCTGTGACCCTGACAGGAACACACACACAAGTACAAAAAGATGCCAATGTTGGCAGATGAGCTCCTCAAATGCCAGCTACTGCTCGGCAGGGACAGCCTGGTGGGACGATTCAGAAGGGAGCCACGCAGACAGTGCAGCGGGTTCGACCAGGTCAGAACCTTCTAGCAACAAGCATGGGTGCTGCCCATATGGTGGGCCAAGCTCTGAGCCCACACAATGAACGAGCACAGGAGAGTTCTGGGGGTGCTGGACACGCTGAGGACGTACAGGTGGTTACAGGTGGACAGCAGGGGCAAATTGGGGTTGCCCTGCTCAGCCTGAGTGCGTGTAGGTGGCCAGATGGAACCCAGAGGGGCCCCCAAGGTGGTCCTGGCTCTAACGCATCAGCATGGTGATTCTGGAGACAGACTGGGGCAGCCCCGGCCCTGTCTCAGTGGGACCCCTTACGGTGGAGCCCCTGCGGGCTCCTCAGGATCTTGCAGTCAGCGAAGCCTGGCTCCGAGCCCCCAGCTCCGGCAGCCCAGGCGTTGGGTGGCCCAGGAGGAGGATGGCGGGGGGGGGCAGAGGGATCAGGGAAGACTGCAGCCCCTAGGAGCCAGGAGCCAGCCGGGCGAGGGCGGGCTGGGCCGCCGCGGCTCTGTAGCCCTCCAAGCCGCGGGCTGAGCCGGGAGAGCGGCCGCGCCAGCTCTCGCCGCAGCCCAGGGAGCGCGCCTTCTGGCCGGGCCACCGGCCCACAGGTCAGCGCCTCTCTCTGCCTCCTGGAGCCGCAGCAGCATCCGGACTGCGGTGCTTTGGGAATCGGCGCCTGACGACCCGCCTTCCACACCCTTGCCCCTCCGCCGCGCAGGCTCCCCCGATTCGGCTAGGCAAGTCTGGTTCGTTGTAGGGGTGCACGAACCGAAGACAATCCCACCCAGGTCTGCGCTGTTAGCTCAGGGAAGCCGGGGTGCGGGGGAGCGGCCGTGAGCAAGGTGCTGGGGGCGGGGCTGGGGTCCTCACTCACCTCTGCTGTTGGCGTAGAGGACACCCAGGGCCACCAGGGCTCCGGCCACCAGCAGCAGTAGCAGCAGCAGTCCCAACTCCAGGAAGCCGCGGCCCTTCTGCCCTGCTGGGCTGGCTCCCTCCACCATCTCCATCTGGCTCTCTGACTTGTCCATCACCAAGGCCCTAGGTGATAAAGTGCACGGCTGAGAACCCCAAGGCCAAGGGCAGGGCCCACGTCCTGACCAAGCCAGGAAGTAACATCAGGGAGCCTTGGATGCTGGTCCCCAGACCCTTCTGGGTCTCAGCCTTTGTCTCCATCTCCCAGCAAGACCTCTGCTTCCCCTCCAGGCTTGGGGCTTTAAAACTAACCCTGGGCTGGAGTTTCTGAGAGCCCAAAGGCACCCCAGGGAGTGGGGAGGCCTGGTGGGCTGGCCATGGTGGTCTCTTCACCCCACTGGCCTCTCTTCAAGTCTGCCCTCTGACAGGGGTGGCCCAGGGACCAGTCTGCTCTCAGTGTTGGATCCACACGGGTCGTAGGATCCAGAGGCACCAGTTCTTCTGCTTGGTTCCAGCAGGGGTCCTGGGTCAGGGACACCGTCTGGGAGGCAGCTCAGGCCACTGGGTGTCCTTGCTACCTCTCTTGCCCAGGAGCCAGGGAGGGAGGTGGTGAGAATGAGAGATGTTCACAGGAGGGGCTCCTGGACCGGAAGCCTCTGGAGGTTCCACTCCAGAAGGTGGCTGGCTGGCCTGCGGCTCTTATTAGTCCCCACCTTGTCACTACAGAAAGGATGCATAATTGAGCCAGCCAGGTGGTTGGCCACATCAGAAAGCCATGAGGTGCCAGGGAACCCATGAGGGCTGGCAGGGAAGGCAGGGGACAGGGACCACAGACTCTGAGCTCCTGGGTCAGCCTGTGTGCATGTATGTGTCAGTGCATTCATGTGAATATGATTTCGAGTTTATGTGTGTGCGTGTGCATGCATGTGAATATAAATGTGTGTGCATGCATGGGTTGTGTTGTTGTTGTGTGCTGTTGAGTCAATTCCAACTCTTAGCAACTCCGTATAGGGTTTCTCAGAATGGACAGTGTCACAGCAAGGTTCATGCATGAGTATATATCTACAAATGCCCATGCACATGGATATATACATTGTTCATGTGCAGATGTGTGCACATGTATGCATGTATGTGAGGATGTGCATGTTCATGCATGTGAGTGTGTGCATCCTTGGCTGGCACTCGAACTGCCCTGGAAGCTGTGTGGGAAGCACCTAGGGAAGAGCTGGGATTTAGGCTACCACCTCTTAAGCCTCACCCTGTGCCTTGGGGCTGAGAATGAGAAAAAACAAGACATTAGGCCCCGTCCTTGGGGGTAAACATTCACCTCAGAGATAATCCACCAATGGAGCCAAATGATCCTACCTTGTACCCACTGTTAGCTCTGGATGAGTTCTAGCCCAGACTCACCGTGTGTTAACCTCTCTGGGCCAAACCATTATTGGGGTCTTACAAAGAAGCCTATGAATACTCTGAACATTAGCGGGGTAAAGCTGGCATGACCTGCAAGTTTCAGAGACCTGACTTCAGCCTCTGCTACCTGTGCCAACCTGCAGGCCAGCTCTGTCCTGGTCACGCTGGCCCCGCTGAACAGACTCCAAGCCCTGCTATTATGGTTCTGTGGAGCAGACAGGCAAAATATTCTGCAAAGCAAAAGAGGTTTATAGAATCATTGAGTGTGCAAGAATCATTAGATGAAAAGACAGACTAAGCCAATTAGAAGGAAACTAGAAATTAATATCATCAACCATACTTTATTTCAAATAATCTCTTTCACAAAGAGGTAAATTCTCCTAAATTCAATATTGCAAAGTTAAATGTTATTAAATGCATAAAAGAACTTTTCTGCATAGAAAGCTTTCTACCATCTATTTTAGTGACTCTAATTATTTTAATAAAATCTGGTGCGGCACTGTAGGATAAGTTGTTGTTAGATGCCATCAAGTTGTTACTGACTCATAGTGACTCTATGCACAACAGAACAAAGCACTTCCTGGGGTCCCACACCAACCTCACAATCGTTGCTACCCCTGACCCCATTACTGCTGCAACTGTACCAATCCATCTCATTGGGGGTCTTCCTCTTTTTCTCTTGCCCTCCACTTTACTAAACATGATATCCTTCTCCAGTGACTGGTCCCTCCTGATAATATGTCCATAGTATGAGAGACGAAGTCTGGCCATCCTAGCTTCCAAGGAGCACTCTGGCTGCACTTCTTCCAACACAGATCTGTTTGTTCTTTTGGCAGTCCGTGGTATTTTCAATATTCTCCTCCAACATCATAACCCAAATGCATCAATTTTTCTACAGTCTTCTTTATCCACTAACTTTCATATGCATATGAGGTTATTAAAAAATATCATGGCTTGTATCAGGCATGCCTTAGTCCTCAAACTGACAGTTTTGCTTTTCAATACTTTAAAGAGTTCTTGTGCAACAGATTTGCCTAATGCAATATTAGTCGTTTGGTTCCTTGATTGATGCTTCCATGAGTGTTGATGGTTGATGCAAGCAAAATTAAGTCTTTGACAACTTTGATCTTTTCTCCATTTACAATGATATTATTGATTGGCCCATTAGTGAGGATTTTTGTCTACATAGATATAAAACAATTGGCATCATAATCATAAATTGGCATAATAATCCTTCAATATTTCTACTCAAGGCTTGAATTTTTTCTTCAGCTGAGTGTGCTCTTTTTTCCCTTTTGATGTTCTAACTCCAGGTCTTTGCACATTTTGTTATAATATTTGACTTTGTCTTCTTGAGAGGCTCTTGGAAATTTTCTGTTTAGCTCTTTTATCTCCTTACTTCTTGTATTTGTTTCTCTATCTCTATGCTGGAGAGCCACCACTCGTCTGTCAGTTTGTCATACTGTGGTGGCTTGTGAGTTGCTGTGATTCTGGAAGCTATGTCACTGGTATTTTAAATACCAGCAGGCTCACCCATGGCGGACAGGTTTGAGCTTCTAGACAAAGACAGACTAGGAAGAAGGAGTGACGAATTACTGCTGAATATTTAGTCACTGAAAACCTTATGAATAGCAGAGAAACACTGTCAGATACACTGTTGGAAAATGAGCCCCTCAGGTTGGAAGGCACTCAAAATGCGACTGCGGAAGAGCTGCCTACTCAAAGTAGAGTTGACCGTGATAAAGAGACTGGAGTAAAGCCTGTGGGAGTAAAAAGCCCACGGGACCTTCATTTGCTGATGGGACACAACTCAACATGAAGAGAAACAGCTGTAAACATCCAATGAAAATTGGAACATGGAATGTAAGAAGTATGAATCTGGGAAAATTGGAAGTTGTCAAAAATGAAATGGAATGCATCAACATCGATATCTTAGGCATTAGTGAGCTAAAATGGACTGGTATTGGCCATTTTGAATCTGACAACCACATGGTTTACTATGTCGGGAATGACAGATTGAAGAGGAATGGTATTGCATTCATCCTCAAAAAGAACATATCCAAATCAGTCATGAGGTACAATGCTGTCTGTGAGAGGGTAATATCCATGCGCCTACAGGGAAGCCCAAAGAGCTCTGGTCGCGTAGTGGTTACGAATCGGGCTGTGAACCGCAAGGTCAGCAGTTTGAAACTACCAGCTGCTCCGCGGGAGAAAGATGAGGCTTTCTGCTTCGGTAAAGATTTACAGCCTCGGAAACCCTGTTCAGGGTCGCCATGGGTCGGAACCAACTCGATGGCACTTAACAACAACAACAGGGAAGCCCAGTTAATACCACTATTTTTCAAATTTATGCACCAACCACTAAAGTCAGTGAGGATGAAATAGAAGAATTCTACCAACTTCTTCAATCTGAAATTGATCAAACATGCAATCAAGATGTATTGATCATTACTGGTGATTGGAATGCAAAGGTTGGGAGCAAAGAGGAAGCATCAGTAGTTGGAAAATATGGCCTTGGTGATAGAAATAATGCTGGAGATCGCATGATAGAATTCTTCAAAATCAGTCCTTGTGTGGAACATGACAAGCTACGGACAACATTGCAAAGTATGAGTAGTCAGGAACACTTAAATATGCTCATGAGGAATCTGCACATGGACCAAGAGGCAGTTGTTTGAAAAGAACATGGGAACACTGGATGGTTTAAAATTAAGAAAGGTGTACAATAGGGTTGTATTCTTTCACCATACTTATTCAACCTGTATGCTGAGCAAATAATCTGAGAAGCTGGGTTATATGAAGAAAAATGTGGCATCAGGATTCTAAGAAGACTTATTAACAACTTGCGATATGCAGATGATACAACCTTGCTTGCTGAAAGTGAAGAGGACTTAAAATATTTACTGATGAAGATCGGTATGGATTGCATCTCAATGTAAAGGAAACAAAAATCCTCACCACTGGACCAACAAACAACATTCTTATCAATGGAGAAAAGATTGAAGTTGTCAAGGACTTCATTCTTCTTGGATCAACTATCAACACTCACAAAAGCAGTAGTCAAGAAATCAAACGATGTATTGCATTAGGCAAATCTGCTGCGCAAGACCTTTTTAAAGTGTTGAAAAGCAAAGATGTAAGCTTGAGGACTAAGGTGTGCCTGACCCAAGCCATGGTATTTTCAATAACCTCATATGCATGTGAAAGTTGGACAGTAAATAAGGAAGACCATGGAGGAATTAATGCTTTTGAGTTATGGTGTTGGAGAAGAATATTGAAAGTGCCATGGGCTGCCAAAAGAACCAACTGGTCTGTGTTGGAAGAAGTGCAACCAGAGTGCTCCTTGGAGGCCAAGATGGCCAAACTTCGCCTCTCATACTTTGGACATATTGTCAGGAGGGACCAGTCTCTGGAGAAGGATATCATGTTTGGTAAGATGGAGGGTCAGAGAAAAAGAGGAAGAAGACCCCCAGAGAGACGGATTGGCCAAGTGGCAGCATCAATGGACTTATGCGTGGCAACAATAGTGAGGTTGGCCCAGGATTGAGCTGTGTTTCATTCTGTTGGGCATAAGGCCGCTATGAGTCGGCACCAACTTAATGGCACGTAACAACAACATGCTGGAAAGCAAGTTTCAGAGTATCTTCTGACATCCATTTTGGTCTTTTCATTCTTTCATATCTTTCTAGTGACTTTTTGCTTT